GCGAATGGAGCACTGCCGTGTCCTGGAAGTCCCAGGAAGGTAATTCAGGAGGCTGAGGGGCCGTGGGGGGAAGGAGGGACGTGATGAGATGCTGGCAGCAGAGGGATATTGTGCTTCGCTTCCAGAGGATTTGGGGGCTGAGCTGATGACGTTGGAGAATCTCTGGAATTTGATGAAAATGGTCCAGTTTCACTGGTGTTCTCTTATTTGAAGTGAATTTGGTGTCACTGACAGGTAGCAGAGCAGTAGCCACAGAGACTAACACTCTGGTTAGTTGCACGGCACAGGAGCATGGCACCAGTCCCAGTGCAGCACTGGCAGGGGCAGTACAGGCTCCTTACGCACACTTCCCCTGCCATTGCACCTGAAACCCCTCGCCTCGATGGGGCCCTTCTAGGTGTGCTCAGTATCCAGCCTCTCAATAAAAGGGCCAGCAAGTGCCAGTGGAGATAGTGGGTTTTGGGATATGGGCTCAGGAAAGGCCAGTCTCTCTGTCTCTCGCAATATGTGGATTGTATCCATTGAATGAGTGCACCAGCATAATGCTCTGGACTGCCCTAGAGAACCCCGAAAGTGAACGTTTTCCCTTCCTCCCTCAATGGTCACAATCCTCTCCACTGTCCTCTCCCTCCCTCCCAACCCTGCCCCTCCCAGAGCTACACTAACCACTGGCTCCTCACTAGGGGATGAGGCTCAGCCCAACAACCTTTGCTGCCTCTTCAATGAGGTTGATCGGCTAATGTGCAGCTGGGAAGTGAGGAGAGAGGTCACCAGCTCTGTCTTGTTCACGCTCTTCTACAGAACCCCACCGACATCAGAGTAAGTGACCTGCCAATTGCAGCGTATGCCTGTCCTCCTGTATCTGACTATCCCTCCTGCTCACTCAGGCCTGGCTGCTCTCTTCCCCAGAGAGACAGAATGCTCTCCAGTCCATGAGGAGGAATTTCCTGGCAGCCAGTACCTGTTCCACAGCTGTGAGATCAATGTCACCAACTCCAGCAGGCTGAGCCAGTACCTCATAACTGTCCGGCCCAAGAAGGAGGAGAAACTGATAGAAGCCTCCAAAAACAGTGAGAGCCCATTTGGATACTCTGCCCAGGGCCAGTGCAACCCATTAGGCCACCTAGGTGGTCACCTAGGGCGCTAGCATTTGGGGGGCGGCATTTCGGGTCCTTCAGCGGCGACCGCGGCAGCCGGATCTTCGGCCGCCCCAGTTGTCATCGGCATTTAGGTGGAGGGAGCTGGGGCAGGGGAGCGCGGGGAGGGCCGCCTGCAGCAAGTGGGGGGGGGGCGGCACGCAGGGGAACCGCTCCCCACCCCAGTTCACCTCTGCTCCGCCTCCTCCCTTGAGCACGCCGCCCCGCTCTGGGCCTCCGGGCCGGGGGGAGCTGCCGTGGGGGGGGGTGCATCAGGGCGGAGGGTGGGAGCTGCTGCGAGGGAGGCGCCTCAGGGCGGAGTGGGGGGAGCTGCCGCGGGGGGGTCCCTTAGGGCGGGGGGGGGGCAGAGAGCTGCCACAGGGCTGGGGGGCGGGAGGGGGCGCAAGGTGGAAGTTTTGCCTAGGGCGCGAAACATCCTTGCACCCTTCCTGACTCTGCCCAGGGTTATCTGGAGGTTTCTCCTCCAGCTTAGGAAACGCTTGGGTTGGCAGAGGTGGAATGGTTAACAAAAGAGCTAGACAGTGATGTGTGGGTGGGACAGAGGGCTGGTAAAGGAAGCTCCCAGCACTGGAGCTCCTGACTGGCACCGACAGAGCACTGCTGCGAGGAGGCACAGAATGGGCGTGTGGAGATGAGATGTGTCAGAGGGGGGCACCGCTATTAGCAGTCCTTGGTGCTAGTCTGCTCAGGCAACAAGTTTCACACCCGCATATCCTTAGTCCTGCCCACAACCCAGAGTGGAAAGGGAATGGGCAGGAAGATAAGCTGGGAGATGGATGCATGTTCCTAACGCGTTGTTTGTGTTCTAGTCAAGCCGCTTGCGCCTGTCAACGTGACAATGACAAAGACGAAAGACCAGGAGTATGAGCTGAGATGGACAAAACAGATCCTAAGCTATGACCCTATATGCCAGAGATATGAATTCTTGTATTGGAAGATTGGTGACTCTTTGGAGGTAGGTGATGGTACTGCTGGGAGCCCAGGACTCTGCCAGGGAGGTGGGTGGATGGGACAGAGAGTTCCTCACCCCTCCTCCATCTCTTCTCCTCTTCTCTTCCCAGAATGCCCAGATTGTAAACATCAGCAATGACAAGCCTCCCTTCATCATCACCCTGCAGATGCTGGAGCCCTCCACACACTATAGGGGAAAAATGCGGGCGAGGGTGCATTCGGATGGCTACAAGGGGCCCTGGAGCGAGTGGAGTGAGGAGTGCACCTGGGAAACTGAGAGTGGTACATCCCAGCTGGGCTACGGGCTTGGGACTTTGCGGGAGAGGGTCAGTTCCCTTCCTAGAGAAACAGGTCCCTTAGCTGGGGTTTATGGGGAACCGGGGTTTCATACAGTTAATTAAGCAAAGAGCCTGACCAGGGTCTCCTTGGTACCTAGCTGCATGCTTCAGTTCACAGAGAATGGGTATAATTGGCTTATCTGAATGGAAGCCTGGGCCTGCCATTTTCCATGGGAACAAGAAAACAGTATGAAAATCAGGGGTTGGAAGTGGATGCACTAGGTGAGGAGAGAAAGGGGCCGCCACAAGGATGAACTGCCTACATTGTCAGAGTGTCGTACAGAGGTTTTAGTTCCATGATTCCCAGGAAAATTAGGGAGGAGGGCCACATGACTGTAATCTTCGCCTACACATTGTATCTCTGCACTGCAGCCTTTGAGGTGTCCAGGTTACTACCTTTAAGAGGAACCAGGCAGACTGGATCCCACTGGACGTGGTCAGGCTGAAAATGGGGCTGGAGGCCAGTGAGAGAAGTTCATGGATCTAAGTGGAGGGCTGGAGAAGGGACGGAATGATCCGTGCTAGTAGATAGAAATGGGTCAATCAGTGGAGCTGGTTGAACTGTTCATTCTGAACAACATTTTCATGTCTGTGAAATAAGAAAAAGATGGGCTCTTTGCAACTGATTTTAAGCAAATCAATTGGAGCTTACAGGGGTTTCTCTGGTCATCCAGAGAAGCGTTGCTTCATGGGTGTGTTGTTCAGCATTTGGAATTCAGGCTGTGTGATTGGTTACTTGGTCTCATGGTGCAGTTCCTGGTCTCCGATTGGCTTCCTGAACCTGTACAAACAGGAAAGGTGACTGAATAGATCTTAATTGTGAATGTACAGACTCAAATGTTTGTGTTTCTTGTAAATTCACGCTTAACTGCAAGTCTCCTGGCATTTCAAATGACTGGGTGTTTTTGTTGTTGTTGTTGTTGATATCTGCAATGTTCTTGTAAGGATCTTCACCCTGAAGTTACTGATCTGTTGTCTCAGTCTGAACTTCACTTTAACAAAATTCTTTGCTCTGGGAATTTCTTCATTTTTTTTAATATTCCTAACATGGGATTAGGGAGAGTAGGGGCTTGAGGACCATATCCCCTTTGGGGCTGACCTAATGAGATCTGTAGAGGGGAACCCATTTCCACAGCACCTCCTGGGACACCCTCTCCCTTGGAGTTGTGCAGGAGAGGGAATTTTTTCTTGGGAATGTCTGAGGTCTGTGGGCATACGAGGACTCACACAAATACAAGCTCATCCCCAGATGTTTACACAAATGTAAACTGGTTATCCAGATGTTCATGGAAACCCCAACAAAAAGGGCTCAGGCACAGGCAGATCAAATCACGAGTTGGATTTAGCAAACATGTTCACAGATTCATTGTCCTGATTAGGTCACTTCTAGTCTGTCCCACATGGGCAACTATTCCATGGTCTAACAGACCTGCCAGTTAGGACATGTTACTTGATAGGCAACCTACATTTTCCTGACCTCAATATCATCCCTCCAGAGCATCCAGAACACAAGGTTCGATATAGAATGAAGCTATTTTCTGTTGCTGTCTCTTTATCTCTCTCTCTCTCATTTATCTGTCTCAGTCTGGTCACCACTGATTCTCCCACTGCTGGTCCCAGTCTTCACCATCGTGCTGATAGCATTTGGCTGGTGTGGTTATAGAGGCTTACTCAGGTAAGTTTGCACTGGGAGTGGGAGATTCGCCAGACACATTGGTAAAGTGAGTGCAGGGAGGGGCAGAGAAACAAAGGTGAGGTGCTGTATGGGCACACCCCATCCTTGATCTAGGGCTTAGTCCAGCTGGGGATATGCCTGGGCTGCAGCTTGAGTGCTGGGCCATGGAGTTTCAGGACTCTGGGTTGACAAGGGGGCCCAGAGTAAGGCTGTGTGTCAGGTGTAGCCTCCCCTAGGAGAAGTGACCCTGCAAACTCTGTCTTGTTACAGCAAGAAGAAAAAATGGGAGGAAAAGATTCCAAATCCCGGCAAGAGCCAGCTGCTCCAGAGCTACTTCCAGGTAAGAGAGAACTGCTGACCCTGGAGAAGTGGAAGTGGAAGCTCTGCATGGGTCAGAGAAAGGGGAAATGCTGCCCTGGGGTTTATTGCTGAGTGTGTAGCTGCCCAGGTGGAACCTCAACATGCTGATCAAACCACTGCCCCCGACTGGGGGACTATGGGAGCACTGTGGGCAAACTGGAAACGGCAGATTAGGCCATTGGTCTCTCACATCTGTTATCCTGCTTCAGTGGCCAAAACCTGATGCTTCAGAGGTAAACAAACTCCTGCCCACAATGCACCTGGTCAAGAGT